GAATACAAGGAAAGAAACAGAATTGACTTAAGAACTGCATCCAGAAATTCACAGTGAAAAATTCTACTTAGATAATGCTTATGATATATATGCTCTTTACTGAGACATTCTTTGGATCATATATATTTTATATTAGGTAGAGGTTGCTGTTTAATTTTTATCATCTTTTATAGACATAAACCAGTGCTCAGAGACATTTTTAAAAAGTCCATTACTGATAATAAGGAACTTGAACAGCATTAAAGCTCATTTTCAGCTGGTTCTGCTTTACATTAGCAATTATAAAAATGGGATTTCACACCCTCTCTCAAAAAATTCTGCCTCTGTTTCTCTTTCTCTGTCTGTGTCTCTGTCTTTCTCTCTCTGTTTCTCTCTGTGTCTCTTTTTCTCTCTCTGTCTCTCTCTTTTTGTCTCCCTTTCTTTCCTCCTTCTCTTTCTCTTTCTGTCTCTGACTCTTGAACGTTGTCTCTGTTCCCTTATTCCCATCTCTGTGTTTTGTGTTGTTTTGTTTACCATTTGTCTTTTTTTTTTTTTTTTTCTTCTCAGTCTTCTCTGTCAGTTCATTTCTCTCTGTCTGGCTTTCCACCTATCAGAATCTGCTTTCTCTGTCTGGATAGATACTTCTCTCTGGAATATAATAGATACTTCTCTCTGTGAAAGTATCTATTCTCGTTTCCATTTTTCCTTGTCATGCATCACAGTTTCTCTCTGCTTTCTCTTTTTACTCATATTTCAGTGTTTCCATATTTTTCTCTCTCCATCTTTCTGAGCCTTTCTTCATTTTTTCTTTCTTTGTACAACTATCTCCTTGTCTCTGATTTCTCTCTATCTCGGACTGAGATGCCAGGTTCTAAAGAAATAGCAAACTCTCACCTAGTTTTATGACTGTTCTCTGAATTTTAGTGGCATGCTGTAAAATTGAAGAAATAAATCTTTTAAATGGTAAAGCAAAAAGGAAAGTCACTGTCCTTGGATAAACAATTTGCATTTCCATAAGGATTCAGTGATGCAGAATCAGAAAAGGCTCATTCTGACACTTCCATGAACACAACAGGGAGAGTATTCATTAGCTGGGCTCCTGTTTGAATGATGCACTTCATCACCCACACTGCTGTCCTCCCCCATTCAGGAAATAGTGCTTAATTCTGTCTGAAACCCGCCCTTTCACTAGGCATTAGAATGAATGACTTTACAAACTAATAGGAGCTACACATCTGCCATGGCCTGAGAATGCTTATACTCTAAAAGCCATACAGAAGTTACACCTCCTGTCAATTTCTTATCATCATGATGCACAATAAACAAGCTTTGAATTTTTCCATTTACCAGGCCAATGGAGAGAAATGCTTTAAGTTCTTTAGTTCCTTGAATTAATGGACTGCCTCTGCCTTTTGCATTTGTACCCTCAATGGCCATGACCTAATATTCAAAGTTTAGTACAATCTTTAAACACCTAGTGAGATAAAAGGAATTTTGTCCATTGCAGTGCTCTGGTAGAAAGTTTTAGTCTTTATTATAAAAAAAAATACTTGTTGTTGATATACATTCTTCTTGAGATGTGATTGCTACATTGAGGTTATTATATTGTAGAATATTTAGCAGTTCATAGATTTCTATTGTTTTGGCTTATTCTATACAAACTCTAGTAGACTGAGTTATCACCTGAAATACTGAGGAAAAATATTTAGGGGGTTTGTTAAGGTTTTCATAGAAAACGATTTCGTTCTTGGAGCACAGTCTGAGGCTTTAAGCAATTCACATTAAATATTTAGTTGTTCACATCTGTATGTATGTGTGCATATAAGGCATTAATATGTTTACTGTTTTCAACCAAGACAAAGTCACATTTAGCCTTATATACCTTCAACACTGGCGTTTTGCTGGACACCTCACAGGTGCTGATTGTACTTCAAGGTTATGCTATTCATGCTCACCTTTAAAAGAATTCCCCTACCTAGTGCTCCTAATGTGTGTGAAAATAATGGTTTCATTTGTAATTTCTGTGTATATTTTCTGTTTTTTACATTTTTTCTTTTTAAGAGCAGGAAATGTTTATTGAAGAAAATATAGCTTTGGTGTAGAGAAACAGAAGGGGTCTTAGAAAGTGGATTGCCCTATTTTCTGTCTTTTATCATGTGAACCATGTGACTCCACTCTATTCAATTTATAAGAAAGTTACATATTAATTCAGTTTCTGAGCATTCTGAGTCTTTGAAATTTTTACACAGATTCTACCATGAGCACATAATCTTGCTATAAATTACTCACAGTGGCTCTTTCCTGCTAACTCAAAATTGATTATGGTCACTAATGAATTCCCACAGTTTGAATAACTTTGCATGCAACCCAGTAATATGTGAACATGAAACTAGCATAGAAAACCCCATAGGTCGTCGTTAGTTTCAAATCTACAGTCCGTCACATTGTAAAGTGACAAGTCATAAAATTTCTATTAAAAAAGAAAAATATACACACGTAACAGTTTTATATGAGGATAACAAAACCAGTTTTATAACGTCATCTCTCTGAAGCAGTCATTTCTATTATGTAATTATGCAACTTTTTTTTTCTTTTAATTTTTTATTGCAAGTGAAAGCCATGGAAACAGAATGACAAAATGGTTCTAGTACAGAGTGATTTCCATTGGAGGCATAAATCATTCAATAAAATGGAAAAAAATAGCTGACTAAAAACTACTTAGAGTTTCAAGTAAAAAATAACAGCACATGAGCACTACAGTAAGAAGCAGTGTGACTTTTTTGCTTAAATTATTGTTGCTGCCAACTTTAATTTATTCATAGGTTGAAATTCTTAGTGAAACTTAAACCATATATTTTCCCCTAAGGGTTAGGACTACAATAAAATATGAACATATACAGAGATGTCTATGTTTGAAAAAAAGTTGAGATAAAAGTTGACTTATGAGCATTTTACAACATTGAATTTTGCAAAATATAGGTAAAAAAAAGTTCCTGTTTTCTGAAACTTTATCTGTACATTTATAATAAGAGGCAGTACATTTATCTACACTTATAAAATGCTCACACTAGGAATTACTTCATTTTTAGTGTTACGTTTTAATGTAATATTTTGGGGAAGTAAAATTCTTTATGATCAAGAGACAACAAAAAGGAATCATTAATTACTCATTTATTTGATTCACATGCATTTTTTGATCAAAGAAGATAGTGATTTTCTTGGATAAGTAAAGCAACTAACAGTTGAGTTTAGTTTCAGTCTTAAGCTATGTACCAAAATATTGGGAAATTTTTGAAAATGGTGAAAGAGCAGGTTGTCTGTCTGTGCAAAAAAACTCAATAACAAAAAATAAATACGATTAATATAGTGCATATTATGCACAATTCAAATGTGAGAAGATTAAGAAACAAGACTGTAGTGTATATCTAACATCAACTCATTTTTCTTAAGATTAAAACTATGCATGTCCTACTAAACCAATCTTATATTTTATCTGCTAATATCACCTACTAATATCAATGGAGAAAATATAACTTTTTTTCAAAAGAAAAGCTTTTCTGGAAAAGTTTTTGATTAAATCTCTTAAATAATAATCAAATCACATAATAAAAATAAAAAAAATAATCAAAATCACCTCATAATTTTCTAAAGACGCAGTCTACTGTGCTTCCTTCTTTAGGTACTTAACAGTTAATGCTTAGAGATACTTTTTGTTGCAAAATTGTAAGGATTCACATTCCCTGCTCAGCACATCTTTGGAACAGCTATGAGGTGAGGAGGTCACACTCAGTAGAATTGGGTACCCATTAAATTACACTTTTATTTCATAGGAGAATGAGTCCACAGACAAGAGTATCGAGTAGCTGAAACTTGAAGACTCACGTACACTGAGAAATGCACCAACTTGCTCTTGGATACAACTTAAGCAAACTAAAGAAACCAATAGTGGAACCAGTTTGCAGAGAAAAACAAGTACACGTGTACATATGCAAAAATACTTCATACAGCCTGTAAACTGCAGGGGACACTTTGTTTTTAAAATATCCCTTTTTAAAACAAATCATTTGGTTCTCTAATGTTAAGCAACACATTGACTTGAGTATCTGATTACTACGTTTGAAAACTGGCTTTCTCGTGAGCTAAGCTTACAAGGGGACAACTCACTGTGCTGGTGCTAACGATGGCTTTCTGCATGTGTACTACAACTCCACCAAATCAGTCACCATCTGTGTACACAAGTCACACATTAGGCTACCAACAGGTTGGTCCCAAATCTTATTACTCAGGGCCCACCTGCCCTGTAGCTACTGAAGTATGATTTTAAAAAGAAGCCAGGTCAGAAAGTAGGAAAGTTATTGAAACTATCTAGTATTAATTTTGTATTATAAGGATCAAGTCGACCTAGATTCAAATTTTAAATGGTTAATTCTCCTAGATACTTTAAAAGTGAGATACATATTACAATGCACTAAAACATTTATAATGAAAGCATCAGGACACTCTGTACCATAGCAAGCAAAACCATTCACACTAGTCATTGTGATGCAGTTTGTGACTTTAACTTACATGCTAACTAAAACCTCCTTCACTGATACATGAAACACAGAACATCAACGTGTGCATGTGTAAAAACAGAACACAGCATGTCAACTCTGATGCCATTTTTGCATGATTTTCAGGAGGAGGAAGTAGAGGGAGTGGTGGAAAATTTTATTTATTTAAATGACAAACCAGAGTTATAATTCAAAAGCATGTATCTTTTTAAATATTACAGTAACTCAACAAAATTATTATACCATTCTGTGATCAAGAAATATAAGAGGCCAGACAGTGATATTTACTCTGCAAGCATATAATTACTTGCACATTGTTACTATTCTGTTCTTTGAACAATTATAACAGACAGTGATATGACAGATGCATTATCCTGAAATAAAGTCTTAACTTTCTTTTTAGTTTACTGTTATCTTAAATTAGAAAAAAACTAAGAAAAGAAGAGTAAGGGGAGAAAAAGAACTTACTTGCGTTTCAAAGTTTCATCTGTACTCCATGTAAGCTTAGGCAGCAAGTTTCCTTGCCAACGCTGCCTCCTGCACATTCCTTTAAAAACAACCAACGCTCATCATCTAGTTTCAAGATGATTCATTCACACGTTACACTTCTTGTTTCTGTGAGCCATTAATGTCCACTTTCGTATCATCACAAAAATATGACTAGAGGTTTTTAAAACCGCACAGTAAAGCGAAACACCTCAGCATACTAAGCCAGGAGGCATACCATCCTTCCCACGTTCTGAGGTACATGCCAACTGTCTTACTTATCACAAGCAACTAACTCTAAGCTGCTAGCAGGAATCCGTCTGCCCTCTATCTGTGGCTATTAGCTCAGCACGTTGATTCACTGGCACTGAAGCAGCAGCAATTAGCTCTCCTGCTCCTCACAGCATACACAGGAGACAACTGAGTGTGCTAAACCTCTCAGTAACCAGTGAGCGCTTCATGCCAATTAGTAGCAGGTGCTACAGCCCAAAAGACAAATTGATGCCCCACTGATCATGGTTGCTGGCTGCTTATTGTGCTGTGTTCTGTCAGCCTATCTGGTGATTCTCTGTTCTCTTTTGTGTGGTTGTTTTTCACTGTTTTACTACAACAGTACTAAGAAGGTTAGCAGCTTACATCCAGTAACAGTGTTACTGACGACTCAACATAATCTCTTAAGCTCCTTTCACAGTTCTCCTTTGCAATCAGTCTCCTCTTTCTCTCCTTCCTTTTTCACGTCCACCATGAAATCCACATTCTTATAATAATTCCTCTACATTGACAGGGTGGGGATAAGAAAACTCCCTGTATTTTATAGAAAACAAACTAGACATTTTGGATTATAAGAGCATGTGACTGATACAAAGGTATCATGCAGAAGCTTACTATAAGAATATTGTGCTATATAAAATCCTCATAACAAATTTGTATGGAGGGATAGATAAACTAGAGGAGCAAGGCAGGTAGTTTTTATTTAATGAGTTATACATTTCTAAAGAATCTTACTTTCTTAGTTTTGTTGAAGCCCATAACAAATCATTCCTATCTATTCATCTGAACACCAAAGAAGAAAAAAAATAGAAATTAAACTCAGAAGATGCTCTAATAGTATGATGTAGAGAAAATACCCTTAGGTTGACTGAAATAAGAGAGGCAAAGTGTATTTAGAGTCAAAATTCCTAGGAGCACTTGGTTTTCTCAAGGACAACATAGACTTTTTTTTTTTAATCATGATGAGGTACTTATCCAATTTAAGAAAAAAAAGAATAGCAATGCCTCTAGAAATCTTACTAGATTTATATACACGTTCCCAGAGTAAAATTTCATTGAAAACCGTGCCTACTTCTCTTGCTGGTTAAGTTTTCTAGGGGGGAGGAAGGTCATGAATTTGAGGTGAATCTGACGTCAGTTCAAGATGCCAAAACTTCAAAGAGTAAAATATGCAAAAGTAAAAATGAGGGATCACAGAAAGTCCTGAGAACCATCAGGCAAAACCTACTTTTTCTGGGTTCATGTGCAACTCTAATAAATTAAATTATTTTATTTCCCCAAATCAATGAAGATACAGAAAATACTGATGTGAACTTGTAGCAACACAACATTAAACACTTATAAGAACTCATATTCTTAAAATTTTAATAATTGATGTTTAACTAAAGGCACTTTCAAGAAATACTTAAAGTTGTAACATTTTGAGATGATTCTTACTTCACTGAAATATTACATACATGAAATAATGCGTATGTTGATATTGCGTGGTGGTTGGTATTGTAAGATTGCCCTAGAAGCAATAAAAGTTATTACTTATATTCCATATGAATTTAAATGTCACCCTCAGTATTGGTGATATTAAAGTGTAACTTTGATGATACATCAGAAATATATCTACACAACACAGATAATTTCATCTCTTTCTTGGCTCCTCTGAGAATTTAGATTATTATTAGTAGAATTCCTATTGATGAAAAGAGTTTCATTTTTGTTTAATAAAAATCACTATATTTCATATCTAGATATTAAAATGTATTTAATATGATATAAAAATATGTAATATTTGACAGCATAAAAAAGGTAAATTTCATGGAAAATCACTTTAAAACAAAAATACACAATGCAAACAATCACCAAAAAATGTATTATCCAGAAATAATTATTGTTAAGCATACGATGGTAATATTGTATACTTTTTCCTTCCTCTCTTTCTCAGTCTCTCCTTTTTGCCTCAGTCTCCTTCCACCTTTTATTTAAAAATCAATTCAACACAACTCTACATACTACCTCCTTTTTCACTTAAAAATCAATATCATAAAATATATAAAATTTACTACATAGCCTTAAGTATAGTTTTCTGGTTGTTAAAACACTAAACATGACATTTATGAGAAACTTGGCAAAAATAAATATACCCTGGAAGTTTCTAAAATCGAAAATAAATAATATGTGTCCTAAATAAAAACTGAATTCCAATATGTACAGGCCTATTCACCTCCATCAACATATTTTATATGCATATATTATGTAAATGTATTTATGCATATATTATGTATTATATCCATATATGCATATTCTCTCTATATTATAGTAATATATATAGTATATGTATATTATATTAATACATATACACATAGACACACGGGCATCATGAGGAATATAAACTTGTCTATTATTGCAAAGAGATTAGGGTGAATTTTTGCCAATGGCTTTTTTCATGCTGGGGATTGGACTCAGAATTTTGAGCACGTTAAGCAAGTGCTTTGACACTGAGCTATATACTCCCAGTACCCTCCAGGTCTTTTTAGATGAATATTTATTTATTAACATTAATTACTTTTTTACTCTATTTTATTTATCTTTTCCAAAAATAATTATCAGAAAATATGTAATTTGTATTTTTCTTGTGTGTATTGTAGGAAAATATATACTATATGCTATTCTAAAAATTTATAGCATGGACTGTTTTAGAATATCATGAGATTATTTCATACAAAATTCATATTACATTTTACAGACTACTGAAATAGAAAACACATTATACTCTATTTCCATGCCAAACATTATCTCCATCGTATTTCCAACTTGGAAAATTAATGGGAAAATTTGCACTTACCCAGTTTTGGTCTCTAAAACTTGTTGAACAATAAGGGGGAAAAAAAAAAAGGAGTCAAAGACACAAAATTCTTTTTTTTTTTTTTTGTGATTAATCTTTTGGAATGGTAACTTATAACAGGTTTTCAGAGAGTTTGCTATCACATAATGTGTCTCTTATTGACAAAACACTTAAAGTGAAGTTTATTCCATTGATTGACAGGCCAATTTACACAGTGTAGACCGTTTTTTATAAGATTTCATTTCTTAGAACTATTTCAAAGTTTCTGATTAAAGTACAGAGAAACAATATTAATTTATATATTATTCTCATATATACCTCATCACAAAAGCAAGACATCAGAGTATTTTGGTTATCCTTACAGAATGAGAACTGAATCTTTCAATCAGTAGAAACTGCAAAATAAAGAGAAGTAGAAAAGGCCTTTTCTGGTTTGCTTATTACTCTGATTAAAGCTTTCTGGAACAAAGTTTCTGAAGTGCTATCAAAGTAATCCGCTGGTGACAAGCGGTGCCTTAGCAATTTATCTAGAATCATTAATTCTAGGCTTGTACCAACAATAATTTAAAGTTGAAATTCAAAGTTATTGTGTATAACCACACAGTAAGAATCCCTTCAGGAACCTAAAGGCTGAAGCATCATCTTTGTTCATGATAAGTTTTTATCATGATTTCTTTTATATACTATTATTTTTCTGACATTTCTTTATTGTCAGGATCGAAAGCAGCTATAGTTAACTTAGTTTCTTTCACATTTTTTCTAACCCCGGTACTAGCATGGGTTACAGTGATACCTTGAAGGACAAAGAAAAGTATAGTCTCTGTTTAATACTTCTCCTGAGGATTTCAACAGACATACTATTCTTTGTAGAGAGCAATTTAAAGACATAATGCAGTATTTAAGGAGCAATGCTTAAAGGAATAACTAACTTTTATAGATGGACAGTTTCACTTAGTAAAATATGGGAAGATATTGAGCCAGTCACATCATCGTTTGAATTTAGTTCGTAAAGATTATCAAATTTAGAGTGATATTTTTCTCCATGTATATATGCCAGACTTTACAGCATAGGAATTATTTTTTAATCTTCTATGAAACTAGACATTATAAAAATTAAAATATGTGATTATTTCTTACAATCTAAAATCCCTTGAAAACAGAAAAATAAAACTACAAAAAAGAGAGATACTAATTGTTGTAGAATGTTTCTTAAATTCGATGTTTTATTTCTTTTAGCTATTTTTATTTGCCTTAGATATCTCTCTTCACACCCAGAAATAAATTTAGGCTCTACAAAATGGCTTGATTTAAACAGTAAAAAAAAAAATCAAAATAACATATTACATATGCTAACATTTCACATTTCTAGCTTTGTAAACTGGTTATATTTGTATGGTAATGTTGTTGGATAAATCAGCATGAATTTCGCAGTTTAATATACATTTAGGATCTCATAGTGTGTGTGACTAAGAGGTTTTGAGGTGCAACCCCACAAAATTGTAATTTGTGGGGTAATTTGTAATTCGTGGGATAAAGCTGTAATTTGCTGGCTGGACAGAGTTCTATCCTAGAGTCTGTGTCAGGAGAGAATTTTGTTTCCAAGCACACATGAGTTGTTTGGTAAAGATCACTTGACTGGGCGAGAGGGGATCCCTATTTGACCTTTTCTCTATTCTCCACAGTACCTCTAGAGTATGACAGGTCCCCATTTCCTGCCCAGAACATTTCCTAGGGAGTTTAGAACGCTAGTGTTTCTTCAAGACCTGGGGAAAAGCTTTGTGTTCTACTAAGTAAAAACCTACTTCTGTGTAATCAGAGGATTGATTCCACATCACTTTTGCTGCGTTCTATTGATTTGGAACAAATTAAAGTTCCTTCCACTGCTAAAAGAGGAGATGATTGAAGGTACAATACAAGCGATCTAGGTCAAGGAACATCTCAGTATTTTGCCACAGTAGGTTAATTCTCAATTTATATAATAGGTACAGTTATAAAACAAGTTTGTATACATAAATATATAATGTAAATAATATAATAGGGGTTGGGGATTTAGCTCCGACATAAGCACCTGCCTTGCAAGCAGGCAGTTGTGAGTTTGATCCCTGGTACCGAAAAAAATACATATATATATTTAATATATAAATATATAATTCATATGGAATATATTTTATTTATATACAATATATAATATTATATAAATATAAATTTATATACAATATAATATTAATATTAATAACTATTATATTGTATATAAATATAAATTATATAGTTATATATATAAATATATGAATGTATATATATAACAAAATAGTTAAAAATTTGAACAACAAAACCTTGCTTTCCATTGGTTTGAAAACTTTTAGAACATTTTGTGTGTAAAATTCTACACTGTTTTATCAAGGAAAAAGAACGATGTGCTCTCTCTCTAAGCCATAAGCACATCGATTAACATTATTTGACATCATTAGATACGTGC